ATCCTGGTTACTTGTTTCTGTTTCCCTTTTCTTTTATTTTCTCTTGAGTCATTTTTTTATGTTTTTCTTTTGAGTCAGTGTGTCAGTTGCTTTGATGTTGTTTTGTGAACTTGTTGAACCAGGAGTTATGCTATAATTGGATGTTATTAAATGTGTGTTTGAGTGCTCTAACAGTATGACTTTAGAGTACAAATGATAACATAACGTTTAACACATCTAACATGTCGATGCTGGAGTTTCTGACACGGTGACGATTGTCACCACTGAGGGGTGACGCTCGTCACCCGCTCCTTTGCGAGATACACTTTTCAAAATCGGTTCTACACGTTCACTTGCTTCTTTTTGACCAACTCTAGGCTTAATAACATTGGGGACAATGTTGTTTAAGTCTGGGGGAGGTGGCTACTGACGTTGTGTACATTTTGTTTTGTTTTGAGAGTCATAAAGTTGAGTCAAAAACCTGTTTTATAAAGTTAAAATTTTGAAATTATCAGTTTTTCTTGGAACTAACCACAAAACGTTGATGCTTATAAGAACCACTGCCACAGTAGTTGATTACAAGTCTTACTAAGTTGAAAGTCATATGTAGATCAGTCTAGCAATGAATGTTGCTTTGTTCACTGTTTAGGAAGGGAAAAGAGTCTATAAAGTGATTAAGTTGATAAAACATTGATGAGATATCACACTTAGATAAATATAAGAAAGTTAGCAGTAGAGATTTTAGATTTCTTGAAGGGGCTTGAAATGGATTTGAGAGATTCGCTAAGCTTGTGATGATTAGACTGAAATTTGATCTTGTGTTGGCTATGTGGTATGTGGATTCGAAAGTGTTGATCAATGTGATGTTCCTAATGTTTAGCTGACTGTTTCTGTTTTCAAACCTCGACCCTGCTCTTTGTCTGATGTTTGCTTGAGGGCAAGCAAAAGCTAAGTCTGAGGGAGTTGATATATCATGGTTTTTATGGTTTTTCACCATGTTATAAGTCCTTTTTATTGAGTCTTTTTGGTCTTTTTAGAGTCCTAGTAGAGTCTTTGCAGATTATAGCACGACTGGAGCATTATTAGAGGTTTTGGAGCTTTTTGGAGCATTGCAATAATCAACCACGAAGTTAGCAACTCGGAAGCTTTACACAGGCATTGGTGACGATCGTCACCATTCAAGGGTGACGCTCGTCACCCGCTTCTGAAGAAGTCGCGACTTCTATTTAAAAGATGGAGGAGAAATTGCACTTTTGGCCCAGAAGTTTCACTATTTGCAAGAAGACCCCAGTTCGTGTCTTAGTTTGTATATATTAGGTTTTCAGCCATTGTTAGCTTTTATCTTAGATTTTAGAATTCAGAGAGCTTCAGAGAGAGATTTATTCAGAGCTTTTGGGGAGACAAATCATATACTCTTTTAGAGAAGATTTCGAATCCCTTTATCTTTTACTCTGCTCTTTTAATGCAGTTTTATTCAGTTATGCTTTGTGTCTTCATGATCATGTCTGAGTCATCTGTTAGTTAAGTTGGGGTTTTTCAAAGGTTTATGAAGAGTTTGTATAATTGCAAAACTGTTAGGAGTATCTATTGGTTCTTCATTTGTGCTTGTATTCATATCGATTTCTGAGACTAATCATCTAGATTTCAAAACCCTAGGTTGTTTAATAGATGTGAGAACATTGTTAATCACCTGAAATAGTATTAGATGAGCAAAACGCATATTTGCAAAGAGATTTGAATTAGGAGTTTTGTGAACAATCGAAACCTGATCTTTGATGCTTGCTTAAGTTGTTAGAATTTGCAAAGAGATTTGGAATTCTATGAATTAGGCATAAATAACTTCTGCAATGAGAATTGATTAGTTATATCATTGAGTTTTGAGTTTAAGACGGTTTTAATTCATTCTTGCTTGCATGCATTCTACATTCTCGGATTCAACCTGCAAATTGTCCTGACTTAGCGCTTTTAGCTTTTTGAAACTTAAGAATAATCATAAAATTTCCTACTTCCATTACTTTAGTTACTTCGCATTACATACACTCATTACTGCTTAGCTTAATCTGAATCTATAATCGCTAGTGTAGTAAGCTCACTCTCTTGGGATTCGATAACCTTTTATGCTACAACTGCTTTGCTGTGCACTTGCAGTAGTAAATTAATTGGGTAAAACTTGAGCCTTATCAAGTTTTTGATGACGAGCGTCACCCTCCTAGTGTATGCCTTTGAGAAGTAAAAAATTCCTTCTCTTTGTTGCTTCTTGTACTGCGATTAGTCATACACCTGAAACCAGCACAAAGAAAAGTAGTTGTAATTAGTAAACAGATAAAAATTTAGACAAAATCCTAATAATAAAAATCGATAGGCAGCTATTACTCCCCGGCAAAGACGCAATTTGCAAAGAGATTCTTGAGTTCGACCCTCATCCCCCTTTGGAAAAGTCGGATCAACTCTTGCTCTCCTGGGTAGTGACCAGCAAATCTCCTCAAACGATTGAACTCCTCCTCGTACTTGTGTACGGTCTTGCTTCCTTGACGCAAGTCTTGGAATGCACTCACCATCTTTTCTATTGCCTCGCGAGAAAAGTACTTACGGGAGAATTCGCCTTGAAATCATCCCATGTGAGCTCATACCGTCCCTCAGTCTTTCTCCACAAGACCTTTCCACCATACTAATGCCTCGTCTATAAGGTACTGGACGGCTAGATCTCTGCGGTATGCTTGTGGACATCTCGCTCCATCTAGATTCTTCTCTAACCTCTTCTTCCAATTGTCACATAAAAATAGATTATAATTTATATAATCATTAAAAATATATTTTAAACTTCATATTTTATAGTATTTCTATAAATTTAATAATTTAATTTTTTAAATAATATAAACCCACACGATGCACAAATACAGAAATCTAGTACTACTTTATTAACTACATCACATAAAAACTTAAACATATTATATCATATATATCAATCCTGATAATATGATTTTGTCTAGCTACTCAAATCCTAACCACTCATGTCATTGTAGTGTGAAATATGTCAATCTATCTGAGTTCATAAGACACTAAGAATACAGCAGTTCACTTAAGTCAAACTAAATTCAAGAAAGCAATTGTGATCAAACTAAACAAGACTAAGCAGCACAGATTTAAAGCAGGAAATTTAGATAAATTAAACCAAAGATCCAAGATGGGGGTTATTGACTAAGAAGGGATTAGAACTAAACTAGTGATGCTTCAAAACCATTCAAACAATGCTATCTTCTAGGCATAGGATTTAACATTTATTACTAGCTCAATTCCTTGATACTAATCACTTTGCTAAGCACATATTCAAAACAAATTCTTTTACTCAAACACATAATTAACAAGCATTCAAATCAGAACTCCAATTCTATACAGCCAAAATGCACCTTAGACATCTAATTCCTTAGGCTAAGAGAACAAATCCTCTAAAAGACTCATTGCAGCATTTCATCAAACACTTATCATGCATAAGAGAAAGCCAATATACTACAAGTCTAGCCAAGACTAATCTAGTGTTAAACACATCTAATAGATATAAGACAATCATATTAAGCATAATACATCACTAATCTAATCTTAAAACCCCTCTAATTTATCCCATCTCAAATCCTAAATAAGACTACTCACTAGCCATAATCAAAATCACAGATTCAAAGGAGAAATAATGGTTAAGCATGATTAAGAATCAGAATAAACAAGAATAGATTAAAGGCAAGTGCAGGAATTCACTAAATCAAACTAGTTCTTACAAAGCAAAGCTGAAAAAAGAAAGACTTTTAATGCTAGAACAGTAGAAAAATAATAAGATCTAAGTTGCCTAACCATTTTAGGACTTTAGTATTTATAGGGGAGCTTAGAAACCCCTAATAAACCAAGAATAAACCAAAAATAAGCTGACTCGGATGGACCATATCGGTCATGTACATCGATACACACATCGATATTAAGTCTTTTTGTGGGTTGTATCGACATGGCCTGGTCGGTACGGTGGTCGATATGCAAGGCTTTTAGAATGTATCGACTTGACTATCTTCGGTGTGAAGTCGATATAATCGCCCTTTAGTTAAGGCTTATCGGGCAAACACGTCGATATGGCACCTCGGTATTGTCCTGTCTCTGGTATATCGACCTGGGTGATCGATACACTAGTCGGTATGAGTCCCCTTTGGTGTATCGAGGTCTTCCTTAGTCGATAAGCTGCCTTTACACCATGCTCTTGCTGTATCGACTTGAAGTGGTTGTTATTCACTTTAATATGCTCCATATCGATCAGATCACATCGGTATCATCATCGATACTGGCCTATCCGACCTTGTCCTTGTCCTTGTTCTATTCCCAGCTCACATCCATTGCACCACTTGGTCTCCAAACTCCTAGTACTTGAATAAAACTCTAAATGCATGCAAAATGCAATGCAACTCATAAAACCACACTAACTCCTAAATATATGCAAATAAGACAAAAAGAAGCAAAATATGGATGTTTAAAAACTAAAACTAGTGATGAATAAAAATTAAAATGATATAAATAATGGCGATATCAAATCCCATCATACACACCTAATCTATCACACATCTAAGTATGTGATTAAATTCGATACATCATGGACCAGATCTAACGAGGAGTTACATAGTTAGAACCAAAATCATACACTATTTTACTTCATCCATATATAGTGTACACGAAATACACCATAGCCAATTTTTTTGGTAAATAACTTTTATTTTATTTTTCTTATATTCATTTTTGCCAAAAATTCCTTTTCCATAAACGAAAAGAAAAAGGAACTTTTTTTTTTGGAAGATGAACCAACAGTTTTATCGTCGGCTCGTTTACTTTTTTTTTTTTTTTTTTTTTAATTGAGCGGATGTTCATCTTTCGCTCTGGAACACTCTGATTCAACAATTTGCCACTGCAAAATTGACTCTACTTCAGTCTGAAATCTAGGGTTTCTTATTTCACGTCTGGTTCATCCCTCTCGCTCTCCTTGCTGGCCTGCAATGGCGAGTGTGTACATACCCGTTCAGAATTCGGAAGAAGAAGTTAGGGTTGTTCTTGATCAGCTCCCTCGTGACGCTTCTGATATTCTTGATATCCTTAAAGCCGAACAAGCTCCTCTTGATCTCTGGCTCATCATCGCGGTTCGTTCTTTCACTCAATTTCCATCTTTGCTTGAATTTGCTCGAGGTCCTATTTAGGTCTCTCTGGAATTGGGGTTGTCGAGCTTTATCGAGTGATGGGTTTATTGATACTTCAGAATCTGATGCTTTTGGGTTATTAAACTCTGCAAATTAGTTTTCAGTATAGTTTTTTTTGGTGAAGTTCTCTCGTTTTGTTACTTAGCCAGACTTTCTAGTTTTTATTCTTGTGTTTTCCTATAGTCCAGCTTCTAGCGCTTGCTCTGTGTTTCAACTGGTCTCTATATGTTCTGATTTTGTCTTCGTCTCTTTTAATTTCTCTGGTGAAGAGAGAGTACTTCAAGCAAGGAAAAGTTGAGCAGTTCCGTCAAATATTGGAGGAAGGATCAAGTTCTGGTACGCAAGTATATGATGCTAATCAATTTGTTAGATCTGGCGCTGCAATCATTCAGATACGTTTAGATTATGGGTCTGTCGATTTAACTATTCTGGCAACTGAAAATATTCATTTTTGTTTCTTCTTGACAAGATATTGATGAGTACTATGCTGATGTTAAGTACGAGAGAATAGCAATCTTGAACGCTCTAGGTGCGTATTACAGCTACCTTGGTAAAACTGAGACAAAACATAAAGAAAAAGAAGATTATTTTATCATGGCAACACAATATTATAACAAAGCGTCAAGAATCGATATGCATGAACCTACCACTTGGGTTGGGAAAGGTAATCATTGTTAGGTTCTTATTCATTTCGTAATGGTCGTTATATTCAGTTATAATGGTCGATACTTTTCTGTTGCTAGACCTCTCATAGACGTATGATCTTTTATCGTCCACTCATATTCTTTAGAAGGCAAACCTTATAACAGTCTTTCTTTTACAGTTCTCCCTGTACAATTTCTTCATTGAGAATTTAAAGTTGGAATGGCTCTATGTTTACTAGATATAAAATCATGAATTGTAATTGTTTGTTTACAGGTCAGCTCTTACTGGCTAAGGGTGAAATAGATAATGCACTTCAGGCATTTACGATTGTGTTAGGCAATGCACCTGATAACGTTCCCGCTCTTCTGGGTCAGGTATAACTAATAATGATTTTCATTTTCTGCAACTGCCAAAAATTTGTAGGTTGTTGGATTCTATATACATCATCTTCTTTATTCTTCGCTAAAAGAAACGCATCAAATTTTCTTAGTCTCTTGAATCACAATCATGGTTGCCAAGTTTCTTGGAGCATGTTGGAACATAATTTTGTTTGCTTGAAAAAGCTTTGGGTTAAAATTTTGGGTATAAGTATGTATTTTAGGAAATTAATCTTTCTTAGTTTCTTGAAGCACATTTACCTACATTTAGGAGACCAGCATTTTGGGTTAGCTGTTATATCAGATTTCTGGGTCATAAGAATTTGATTCCGATGCTTGCACTCTACAAATCAGTAACTTGCTCTATCACATATGCAGGCTTCTGTAGAATTCAATCGTGGACGATTTTCCGAGTCATTGCAAATGTACAAGGTATGCTTTTATATTTATATTCTCAACTACTATATTTCTGTTTCGTCATTTGGAGTGCAAATTTATTTCTTTTATGTAAAGGTGATATAGTCTATCTGTGGAACAAATTGATAATCATTTTATTTGTCTTTATCTATTCATTGACTGTGTTAAGAGGGCCTTGCAAGTGTATCCCGGGTGTCCTGCTGCTGTGAGACTGGGAATTGGTCTTTGTCGTTATAAGTTGGGGCAACTAGATAAAGCACGGCAAGCTTTTGATCGTGTTTTGCAGGCAAGTATGACTGGGAGGTTTTATCTTACATTCTTATGATACAGCCTATTGATATATAAACAGTGCTGTTTACAACATTCTATATCTGCAGCTAGATCCTGATAATGTTGAGGCTCTTGTGGCACTTGGGATCATGGATTTGCAAGCAAATGATTGTAAGTGTAACTCAGTTCTATATCTTTTGATTATTCTGGCTGAAGATATTCTATTAGCTTAAACTCTTTTTGGTCTTGGCTGATGATATTTCATATGTGTAGCTTTAGGAATGAGGAAAGGAATGGAGAAAATGCAGCAAGCGTTTGAGATTTATCCCTATTGCGCAGCAGCCCTAAATTATTTGGCCAATCACTTTTTTTTCACCGGCCAGCACTTTCTAGTTGAGCAGCTGACTGAAACTGCATTAGCTGTCTCAACTCATGGGCCAACAAAGTCACATTCTTTTTACAATTTAGCACGGTCATATCATAGCAAGGTTAGATATATTCTTTATCATCTTTCGTATACTCTATTCTTACCTAGTCTTTAAAATACGATTGGCCAGGAAGTTTGTGGCTACCTTAGTATACGTTTGGTTGAAAAAGCTCTGAACTTGCCAGTGGTGACGGAAGTGGAGGAAAGATTTGAGAAAAGCCTGCTTAAAAATTTAATTTGTTAGAAATATTTCTGTTGCGTTTCTTTTTTCTATGGGCAGTTATAGAAGAATGCATTTAATTATGTTTCGGTCAATCTCCCTTTCTGATGTTTGATGATGGTCTTGTTCTAGGGGGACTATGAAAAGGCTGGGATGTACTATATGGCAGCTATCAAAGAAACTAACTCTAAGCCACAAGAATTTGTATTTCCCTACTTTGGTAACCTTTCTCCTCTGTTCTACTGAATTACTCTTGATTCTTTGTATGTTACCATCTGAGTCATTAGGAATGATGATTCTGCACCTCATCATATCTTTCCGGTTTAATTAGTAGAATATCCAAAATGAAACTGTCAATATATAGTTCCGGTCTATAAAAGCCTGACTATGAAAAAAATTCTGTCTATCATCTCGTGCTCTCAGTTTCCAGTTTAACTCAGTTTGAGTTGATGATCTTATATATGCAGAATTATCCTGTATGGTCATTTAATTTGTTTTGTTGATGTTGCAGGTTTGGGTCAAGTACAACTAAAGTTGGGGGAGCTTAAAGGATCAGTATCTAACTTTGAGAAAGTATTAGAAGTCTATCCTGACAACTGCGAGACTCTGAAGGTTAAATGACTGCATGCTTTTTCCCTATTGCTCTTTCATTCTGGATTTTATCCTTTAAAAATTTAACTTCTTCATGTTCATATTTCTTTCATTCTTTAGGCTCTTGGACACTTATATACTCAGCTTGGAAAAACTGATAAAGCCCTTGAATACATGCGGAAGGCCACAAAACTTGATCCACGTGATGCCCATGTTAGTTTGGTTTACATAATGATCTTCTAAAGTGTTGATACTTGCATGAGTTCTTTGATAGAAATTGTTGTCTTTGTTACCTAACTGTGGATCACATTCGAGTTTCACTTTTCTTGCCCAAATTGTAACACCAGCACACTTAGCCTACTCACACTTAGTTCTGCCATATATCTTGAGAACACCTTTTGGGTTATTTCATTCACAGTTCTTAGTTTCCTAATTCTTGTTGAAAATTTTATAGGGATATGAATCCATATCTATTGAATTTTGATTTTTGTTCTTTGTCTTTGTTTACATGCTGCTACATTGGTCCTGTAGGCATTTGTTGGCCTTGGTGAGCTGCTTATATCATCTGACACAGGGGCAGCACTTGACGCCTTCAAAATGGTAAGTCTTATTTAAAGTGTGATTTTGATTTGTATCTCCTGTTGAAGTGCATTATTGCATTTTACACATTATCAAATAAAGAAGGCATTTTGTCTGAGAACTAAAAAGAAAAAATCCCAGGCACGGACGCTTATGAAAAAGGGAGGGCAAGAAGTGCCTATAGAAGTCCTGAATGACATTGGTGCTTTACATTTTGAGAAAGAAGAGTTTGAGGTTTGTAATCAGTTTGTTGCTACTTATTTTATTCTGAAACTTTGGCTATTGGCGTCAGTATCTTCTTCATTTCAGTCTGCGCTCGACAATTTTAAGGAGGCTCTAGGTGATGGAATATGGATTAGCTTTCTTGATGAAAAAGAAAATTTAGAACAGACGGGTGTATCTGTTCTAGGTTACAAGGATACTGGAATTTTCCATAGACTGATTGAAAGCGGCCACTCTGTCGATGTACCTTGGAATAAAGTCACAACTTTGTTTAACCTGGCTAGATTACTTGAGCAGTTGCACAAAACAGAAAAAGCGACTTTTCTGTATCGGTTGATACTTTTCAAGGTATACTCCTAATTCCTTGTGATATTATTTAGTATTCCAGTTTATCATGATTATTCCTAGAGGTAGACATGAGGTTTATGTTCTTTCTGTTTCTACAGTTTTTGGATACGCTTACAATGTCGCATAATTTGTCTGAATGCTTACCCTGATCTATGCATCGGATGTGTGTCTGTTGATTTCTGTCGACTTACTCTCACTGTCCATTTGGTGCAGTATCCTGGCTACATAGATGCTTATTTGAGGCTTGCTGCGAGTGCGAAAGCTCAGAACAATCTTCCTCTAGCCATTGAACTGGTCAACTACAGTATTGAACATTATTTTTATTTTCTGTATTAAGTTGCGTGCTATTTCTGACTGCGATTTCCTACTTTCCCCTGTAGGTGAATGAAGCTCTAAAGGTGGACGATAAAAATCCCAATGCTTTGTCTCTGCTTGGTGAATTGGAGCTTAAGAATGATGACTGGGTTAAGGCAAAAGAAACGTTTCGAGCTGCTAATGATGCGACTGATGGGAAAGATTCATATGCTATTCTTTCTCTGGTATATCTTTTTACGTCCATTTTCTCTTTTGCGGCAGAATATACGAATCATATTAAGTTCCTTTTGGGTAGTTCAAGCCACATGGGATGCATAATCATTTCATAGAATCGATAAGTAGAAGCACCCCACCTGGTCTTCCCCTGCATAGTCTGTGGGGCCAATCTATTTACTATTACTGCTATCCGGACTCTCTTGTAGAACACTTAGCCAAGGGGCAGGAACAGAAGATGCTGTTAGGGTCCTCTGTTGGGTTTCTCAACCAGCAGCCTGGTTAGGGCTGGTTGTCTAGTAGATTTGTTACTGACGCGGAGTGGAATTCTGTGTTGACCCTCCTGCATTCATATTGATAAATTAGTGTGGTAGGGACTTAGATGGTTGGAACTGTTCCCCAGACTCAGAGAGGTGTTAGCCACTTATTCTACAAGCTTTTTTTGTTGTGTGTTATATTTTTTCTTGGAATGGTGTAGGGGAACTGGAACTACTTTGCGGCTATGCGCAATGAGAAAAGAAATCCGAAATTAGAAGCTACCCATCTGGAGAAGGCCAAAGAACTTTATACTAAAGTATGATGTTTCACTTACTTCCTTTCTCTCTTCTCAATATTAGTAATTTGGAAATATTTCGTGATAGATGTGTTTTGGGTGGAGGGTGGTGGGTGGTGGACTTCCAATATTATTTATATAGAGCTATGAAGTTTCTGCAGTCTGTTATCCTAATATAGCATAGCTGTTTGCACAGGATGTAATCTTTTCTAATTTACTTTTTTGTTACTATCGGAAAATGCACAAGTGTGTACGTTAGTTCTTGATAATAAGAATTTTTGGCTAGTAATAGAGTGAGATCTGAAAAGTAGTGGAACAACCTTTGAATCAGATTCAGGGGATCATCTGAATTAGATTGCTATCAATTCAGTTATCTTTTAGATATATTCCTGGGGCGACCTGAACTTTCTTGTTGGATTTTTCTACGCTAATAGGACTGCGTGCTTAAACAGCTATGTTCTCTTTCCTTCAATGCTAATCGTTGTACTCATTGTTGATTGCTGGAATAAACAGGTCCTGACCCAACATAATTCCAACATGTATGCGGCCAACGGCTCTGGCATTATATTGGCAGAGAAAGGCCAATTTGATATTGCCAAGGATCTTTTTACTCAGGTCCGCCTTATCCATTTACTGTTCATGGTTTAGACTAGTTAGTTTTTTCAAATCATTGCAACTTTGTGAACGTTTTAGGTTCAAGAAGCTGCAAGCGGAAGTGTGTTTCGCCAGATGCCTGATGTATGGGTGAATCTGGCTCATGTGTACTTTGCTCAAGGGAATTTTGCCTTAGCCGTGAAAATGGTTTGTCATTTTTATATCATATTTTTTTTATCTTCTTTGGGTTAATTTCTATGTTTTGCTGATGCACTATGTTCATAAACTATGTTCTTTGCAGTATCAAAACTGCTTGCGGAAGTTCTTTTACAACACAGACTCTCAAATTCTTCTTTACTTGGCTCGTACCCATTATGAGGCTGAGCATTGGCAAGAGTGCAAAAAGACACTATTAAGGGCCATTCACTTGTCTCCTTCAAATTACACATTCAGATTTGATTTGGGTGCTGTAATGCAGAAATCATCGTCTTCCACACTACAAAAGAAAAAGAGAACAGCTGATGAGGTTGGCAAACTAAAGATCATCTCTTTCTAAGCGTCTGATATTTTCCCTTGTTTCTTTCTGACTTGCCTTGCGTTTCTTATGCTTAAAAGATAAGCAGATTTTGGTATGTGTCGATTTAACCTTTGAAATCTTATTTAGTATGCGTACACCTGATCCTAAGATTTGATGTCTTATTTTATAAGGTTAAGTTGAGATATAATTAATTCGTCCAGTGGGGGCCTTATTGATTTCCACCTGAAAAGAGAATCTTCTTTATGACTATGCAGGTGCGCTCAACAGTTACGGAAGCGGAGAATGCTGTTCGTGTATTTACTCAGTTGTCTGGTGCTTCAGACCTCCATGTTCATGGGTTCGATAGTAAGAAAATACAAACTCATGTTCAGTATTGCACACACTTGTTGGAGGGAGCAAAAGTTCACCGTGAAGCAGCTGAGCGTGAGGAACTGCAGAACCGGCAGAGACTAGAAGTTGCCCGTCAGGCTGCCTTGGCAGAGGAAGCACGCCGTAAAGCTGAAGAACATAGAAAATATCAGGTAACTGTGGGTTGCAAGTTAACATTTCGTGGGAACAACTTATGAAGATTTAATATGGAAGACTATCAAGTTTGTGATATGCGTTAACGAGTCCCCTCTCTTGGACAGCTGGAGAAAAGAAAACAGGAAGACGAGCTAAGACGCCTCAAGCAAGAAGAAGAAAAAATTCAACGTATAAAGGTGTGACGTCTCATGCTTTTACTTGCAGTGTATATGAAAATCAGGTTTTTAATGTTGTGGGGTTCTCAAAGAAAAATAAAATACTGTTTAATACTTGTTAGGCGTGCATTTTTCAATATGATTGTCTTCAGAGATGTTTAGGATGACATGCTGATATTGTTCTGTAATTTTGAATGCCCTAGGAACAATGGAAGAGCAACACACATGGATCTCATAAGCGTAAGGATAGAGCTGAAGATGATGATGGGGAAGGTAGACCCAGTGAGCGGAAAAGAAAGAAAGGTGGGAAGAGAAAAAAGAAGGACAAAGGCTCAAGGGCTCGACACTACGAGGACGATGAGGAAGAAGTGGCTACTATGGATGATCATAATGAAGTGGAAGATGAAGACGCCAACACTAATTATTATAGGCAGGACGCTGAGGAACCTGTAGATGATGATGCTCATGATCTTGCTGCTGCTGGGCTCGAAGATCCTGATGTCGATGACGATGAGGTAATACAATGCTAGTTTTTTCAATTTACATAGACCACGGAACCATACAAATCCAATTGTTTGATTAATCAAGGACAATGTTTTGATACTGAATCGGTTTGGGTGGCTACAGGTACCTGCTTCAGTTGTGAGACGAAGAAGGGCGCTTTCGTCTTCAGATGAAGAAGGTGAATTGATGGAGGGTCAGGCAAATTCTAGCCCCCAGAGAGAGAATTCTCCAGTAAGGCAAGAAGAGAGCAATGTGGAAGAAGAAGATGCTAATTTGGAGGACGACGAAGAGGCAAATTGAAATTCTTCATACATAACAGATCTTTCTGTGTTGTAACTTTTAGTGATAAATTCCATTGATGGTCTTTATTCAATTTTCATAGGAGTTAGGGTGTGAGGACAAATTACACTCAGGCCAATGATCAGTTTGAATCTTGGTATTATTTTTGTTTGAGCCTTATTTATTATTATTGTTTAATGAAAAGTATTTTTTTTTTATCTTTCGATAAACTTGAGTTTTAAGAAAACTTCTTTCTCTCTCTAAATTTTTCTCAAACTTTCTAAACTTTTTATGCAGATCTTGTTAGATCGCATAATAAATCCAGCCCATTCAAGTATAAATTGGCTGGACTTCGATCATATAGCCCAATCCTTCGAGATGATCTACAATATAACGAAATTCCGAGAAACAAAGAAAGATCTAGACCAAGTTGGAGCATATTTTTATCAGTTCAAACAAACTTGAGATTTTCGAGAGAAGTTGCTGCACGTTGTTGAGATATGCGTTGTAGGTTGAAGTTCGACGAAGAGAACTATATAAAAGAAGGAATCTGCTTAGTTTACAGAGGCTGATAAATTCTTATACTTTCTGATACTCGAAAATTCTGGAACCGCTTTTCGAGCTCCTTTCATTCCATCTCTTTCTGAGAAATCTTGTAACCGTTTAATTCATCCGATTAATATTAAATCTTTATTTTAGTTTTTTTTTCTTTTTTTTGTCATCAAACTCCATAATTTAAATCTAAATATACCGGTTTGGCGGTGATCTCTGTGAGTCAGCCAAGCCGGTTCATTGTGACTTACATGGGAAAAAGTAATACCTCGTGCTCGTGCCTCTTTAGCAAGGGCATCGGCACGGACATTTTGAGCATGCAGAATCAGACATAGACTAAAAAACTCGAAACCTATCTGTATTAACTCCAAATAGTCTAGCTCCGAGGTAAAGGCTGGCCAATCAGTTGGTTCTTCAACCATCCTGATCAGATCCAATGTCTCGATCTTAACCGAAGTGTAACCCCGCTCTCTTAGGCAAGACAATGCCCAGAGAAGTCCTTCGAACTCCTTATTTTAGTTAGTGTTTGCTTATACTATCAATCTGTTCGAGAGAATCTAACCCTTAATTCTTTAATGTTATTTTCCTTAATAAATGCATAAATTTCTGAATGTAGATTTTTGTATCCACATTTTGGCGCCGTCTGTGGGGAAAGATCTATAGACTTCTCTTACTCAAGAGCAGATCCTAAGCCATCTAAAAACCGAAATGGATTCAACTCAACAACCTTCGGGAAACATCTCACCGATTCTGATTTCTCCAGATCAAGTCACTCTGACCAGCAACGCCAGCCAGACAGCCGGCGGAAACAAACCCAGGGTCACGACCCTTATCGACACCACCGACACGAACTCTAACATTCCCAGCCGTGTAAAAATCGATCGTGATCAACGTTGTCACCCCACCGGGAAGGATGAGTAACCACTCACAAACAATCGAAAGGCCTGCCTCTCGAACCTGGGTGCAATCTGAAAATCCCCTTACAGCTTAGGCATCTCAGAGCCGAGTAGCTCCTACCTCTCCACCACCACCTGTAGCTTCCAGAAGCGCAACAGAGTCGACAGAGATACTCCAAATGCTCACACACTTGATCAATCAACAAAGAGATCAAGAGATCAAGCTAGAGAGACAGGAGAGACACCAAGCTGCAGCTAGATCTGCTGCGAGTCCACCTCCATGGATTCAGCTTGACTTTTCGTTGATCCCTGCTTTAAGCAATCTACCCGGACAGACCAGGTCCACCAAATTTTGCCCCCGCGGTGAACCAACCCAATCACCAAGGAAATTCCTGCTCCGGGAATACCAGAGATGGGACCTCGCCCCGCGACGAGATATCCATCTCCACCTGTGCCAGCACCAGGAATACCCAAAATGGGACCTCGTTCCAACACTAGATATCTGTCTCCTCCTTTGAGACCACCTAGAACCAAGCCACCTCGTTCGAGATGGCTTGGATCCTCGGCTTTCGCCTCGAGCTCGCAGATACCTCCCCAGTTTGGCCAACAACCGAACACGATCTCAAGCTCGAGACCCCCTAACGGAACCTGCGAACAGCCCACAAGGTTCGTTCATCAACAGCACAGAACCCACGTTCGAAATGATCAGACTCGGGCCTTCCGCGAATCCTTCGAAAGATTCCAGGATCAGACCGACTTTGCTTTTGGCAGATGAACTCCATGTTTCATCAAGCCACGAGCTCAGCTCCCGATATCGATCGAGTGATCCTGGAGACCCAACAGACTCTGTTCACTTACCAGATCATCAACACTTACCTCTGAGACACTAAAGTACGAGTCATGGAGTACGCTGGAGACAGCGACCCAAAAGCTCATATCCGACTCTTCAACCTCGCAGCTATCCGAGCTAATTTCTCACCGAAGAAAAAGAAGCAGGATATTGCAGGCTCTTCGCCGAAATCTTAGTCGGACCAGCCCAGGAATGGGTCATGATGCTGGAAGAGAATTCAATCGGGAATTTCAACCAGCTCACTGTAGCTTCCCTCAAACAGTATTCGATCTTTATCGAAAAACAAGAATTCGAAGCTGATCTCTGGAAACTAATCCAAGCTCCAGATGAACCATTTCAATCATATATCGCCAAGTTCAAGACGATCAAAGCAAAAACGGTAAATCCTAACAAAGCAGTAGCCCTGCTCTCCCTCAAAACCCACTTGATGATGCACTCCATTGCGCGTCCATATTCGCTAACTTCAAGGATGAAACGCTTGCCTGCAAAGATAATTACTATAACAGACATCTAAACTACACACCCCCTGGGTTGAAGAAAGCAAATGTTCCGCCTCCCAAAAGGGAGCCGCAAAGCAAAGGTTAGCATTCATATGCTATAGAGAGTTTGTCACCTGAAAAGGAGTCGAACTTCGACCAAAATAAATATTGCGACCACCACAAAAAACACGGGCACTCCACCGAGGATTGCCGAACTCGAGCTAAAATCCTAACTAAAAAGCTCGCTAAGGAGAAAGCCAAAAAAGCCGAGAGAAAGAGCAAAAAGCCTAAAAAGACCTCGACCAAAAACAAGGATGAAGACCTCGACAAGGCATCTCAAAAACGGGATCGCAAAGTCGAAGTCGAAGTCCAAACTCCAGATTCAACTCCTTCGGCGAGGAAAAGAATCGACCTTATCTTCAGAGAGCTAAGCCTTTGTGGCGGGTCGCCGAAGTCACAACTTTGTTTAACCTGGCTAGATTACTTGAGCAGTTGCACAAAACAGAAAAAGCGACTTTTCTGTATCGGTTGATACTTTTCAAGGTATACTCCTAATTCCTTGTGATATTATTTAGTATTCCAGTTTATCATGATTATTCCTAGAGGTAGACATGAGGTTTATGTTCTTTCTGTTTCTACAGTTTTTGGATACGCTTACAATGTCGCATAATTTGTCTGAATGCTTACCCTGATCTATGCATCGGATGTGTGTCTGTTGATTTCTGTCGACTTACTCTCACTGTCCATTTGGTGCAGTATCCTGGCTACATAGATGCTTATTTGAGGCTTGCTGCGAGTGCGAAAGCTCAGAACAATCTTCCTCTAGCCATTGAACTGGTCAACTACAGTATTGAACATTATTTTTATTTTCTGTATTAAGTTGCGTGCTATTTCTGACTGCGATTTCCTACTTTCCCCTGTAGGTGAATGAAGCTCTAAAGGTGGACGATAAAAATCCCAATGCTTTGTCTCTGCTTGGTGAATTGGAGCTTAAGAATGATGACTGGGTTAAGGCAAAAGAAACGTTTCGAGCTGCTAATGATGCGACTGATGGGAAAGATTCATATGCTATTCTTTCTCTGGTATATCTTTTTACGTCCATTTTCTCTTTTGCGGCAGAATATACGAATCATATTAAGTTCCTTTTGGGTAGTTCAAGCCACATGGGATGCATAATCATTTCATAGAATCGATAAGTAGAAGCACCCCACCTGGTCTTCCCCTGCATAGTCTGTGGGGCCAATCTATTTACTATTACTGCTATCCGGACTCTCTTGTAGAACACTTAGCCAAGGGCAGGAACAGAAGATGCTGTTAGGGTCCTCTGTTGGGTTTCTCAACCAGCAGCCTGGTTAGGGCTGGTTGTCTAGTAGATTTGTTACTGACGCGGAGTGGAATTCTGTGTTGACCCTCCTGCATTCATATTGATAAATTAGTGTGGTAGGGACTTAGATGGTTGGAACTGTTCCCCAGACTCAGAGAGGTGTTAGCCACTTATTCTACAAGCTTTTTTGTTGTGTGTTATATTTTTTCTTGGAATGGTGTAGGGGAACTGGAACTACTTTGCGGCTATGCGCAATGAGAAAAGAAATCCGAAATTAGAAGCTACCCATCTGGAGAAGGCCAAAGAACTTTATACTAAAGTATGATGTTTCACTTACTTCCTTTCTCTCTTCTCAATATTAGTAATTTGGAAATATTTCGTGATAGATGTGTTTTGGGTGGAGGGTGGTGGGTGGTGGACTTCCAATATTATTTATATAGAGCTATGAAGTTTCTGCAGTCTGTTATCCTAATATAGCATAGCTGTTTGCACAGGATGTAATCTTTTCTAATTTACTTTTTTGTTACTATCGGAAAATGCACAAGTGTGTACGTTAGTTCTTGATAATAAGAATTTTTGGCTAGTAATAGAGTGAGATCTGAAAAGTAGTGGAACAACCTTTGAATCAGATTCAGGGGATCATCTGAATTAGATTGCTATCAATTCAGTTATCTTTTAGATATATTCCTGGGGCGACCTGAACTTTCTTGTTGGATTTTTCTACGCTAATAGGACTGCGTGCTTAAACAGCTATGTTCTCTTTCCTTCAATGCTAATCGTTGTACTCATTGTTGATTGCTGGAATAAACAGGTCCTGACCCAACATAATTCCAACATGTATGCGGCCAACGGCTCTGGCATTATATTGGCAGAGAAAGGCCAATTTGATATTGCCAAGGATCTTTTTACTCAGGTCCGCCTTATCCATTTACTGTTCATGGTTTAGACTAGTTAGTTTTTTTCAAATCATTGCAACTTTGTGAACGTTTTTAGGTTCAAGAAGCTGCAAGCGGAAGTGTGTTTCGCCAGATGCCTGATGTATGGGTGAATCTGGCTCATGTGTACTTTGCTCAAGGGAATTTTGCCTTAGCCGTGAAAATGGTTTGTCATTTTTATATCATATATTTTTTTTATCTTCTTTGGGTTAATTTCTATGTTTTGCTGATGCACTATGTTCATAAACTATGTTCTTTGCAGTATCAAAACTGCTTGCGGAAGTTCTTTTACAACACAGACTCTCAAATTCTTCTTTACTTGGCTCGTACCCATTATGAGGCTGAGCATTGGCAAGAGTGCAAAAAGACACTATTAAGGGCCATTCACTTGTCTCCTTCAAATTACACATTCAGATTTGATTTGGGTGCTGTAATGCAGAAATCATCGTCTTCCACACTACAAAAGAAAAAGAGAACAGCTGATGAGGTTGGCAAACTAAAGATCATCTCTTTCTAAGCGTCTGATATTTTCCCTTGTTTCTTTCTGACTTGCCTTGCGTTTCTTATGCTTAAAAGATAAGCAGATTTTGGTATGTGTCGATTTAACCTTTGAAATCTTATTTAGTATGCGTACACCTGATCCTAAGATTTGATGTCTTATTTTATAAGGTTAAGTTGAGATATAATTAATTCGTCCAGTGGGGGCCTTATTGATTTCCACCTGAAAAGAGAATCTTCTTTATGACTATGCAGGTGCGCTCAACAGTTACGGAAGCGGAGAATGCTGTTCGTGTATTTACTCAGTTGTCTGGTGCTTCAGACCTCCATGTTCATGGGTTCGATAGTAAGAAAATACAAACTCATGTTCAGTATTGCACACACTTGTTGGAGGGAGCAAAAGTTCACCGTGAAGCAGCTGAGCGTGAGGAACTGCAGAACCGGCAGAGACTAGAAGTTGCCCGTCAGGCTGCCTTGGCAGAGGAAGCACGCCGTAAAGCTGAAGAACATAGAAAATATCAGGTAACTGTGGGTTGCAAGTTAACATTTCGTGGGAACAACTTATGAAGATTTAATATGGAAGACTATCAAGTTTGTGATATGCGTTAACGAGTCCCCTCTCTTGGACAGCTGGAGAAAAGAAAACAGGAAGACGAGCTAAGACGCCTCAAGCAAGAAGAAGAAAAAATTCAACGTATAAAGGTGTGACGTCTCATGCTTTTACTTGCAGTGTATATGAAAATCAGGTTTTTTAATGTTGTGGGGTTCTCAAAGAGGAAAAATAAAATACTGTTTAATACTTGTTAGGCGTGCATTTTTCAATATGATTGTCTTCAGAGATGTTTAGGATGACATGCTGATATTGTTCTGTAATTTTGAATGCCCTAGGAACAATGGAAGAGCAACACACATGGATCTCATAAGCGTAAGGATAGAGCTGAAGATGATGATGGGGAAGGTAGACCCAGTGAGCGGAAAAGAAAAGAAAGGTGGGAAGAGAAAAAAGAAGGACAAAGGCTCAAGGGCTCGACACTACGAGGACGATGAGGAAGAAGTGGCTACTATGGATGATCATAATGAAGTGGAAGATGAAGACGCCAACAAGGCAGGACGCTGAGGAACCTGTAGATGATGATGCTCATGATCTTGCTGCTGCTGGGCTCGAAGATCCTGATGTCGATGACGATGAGGTAATACAATGCTAGTTTTTTTCAATTTACATAGACCACGGAACCATACAAATCCAATTGTTTGATTAATCAAGGACAATGTTTTGATACTGAATCGGTTTGGGTGGCTACAGGTACCTGCTTCAGTTGTGAGACGAAGAAGGGCGCTTTCGTCTTCAGATGAAGAAGGTGAATTGATGGAGGGTCAGGCAAATTCTAGCCCCCAGAGAGAGAATTCTCCAGTAAGGCAAGAAGAGAGCAATGTGGAAGAAGAAGATGCTAATTTGGAGGACGACGAAGAGGCAAATTGAAATTCTTCATACATAACAGATCTTTCTGTGTTGTAACTTTTAGTGATAAATTCCATTGATGGTCTTTATTCAATTTTCATAGGAGTTAGGGTGTGAGGACAAATTACACTCAGGCCAATGATCAGTTTGAATCTTGGTATTATTTTTGTTTGAGCCTTATTTATTATTATTGTTTAATGAAAAGTATTTTTTTTTTATCTTTCGATAAACTTGGGTTTTAAGAAAACTTCTTTCTCTCTCTAAATTTCTCTCAAACTTTCTAAACTTTTTATGCAGATCTTGTTAGATCGCATAATAAATCCAGCCCATTCAAGTATAAATTGGCTGGACTTCGATCATATAGCCCAATCCTTCGAGATGATCTACAATATAACGAAATTCCGAGAAACAAAGAAAGATCTAGACCAAGTTGGAGCATATTTTTATCAGTTCAAACAAACTTGAGATTTTCGAGAGAAGTTGCTGCACGTTGTTGAGATATGCGTTGTAGGTTGAAGTTCGACGAAGAGAACTATATAAAAGAAGGAATCTGCTTAGTTTACAGAGGCTGATAAATTCTTATACTTTCTGATACTCGAAAATTCTGGAACCGCTTTTCGAGCTCCTTTTCATTCCATCTCTTTCTGAGAAATCTTGTAACCGTTTAATTCATCCGATTAATATTAAATCTTTATTTTAGTTTTTTTTTTTCTTTTTTTTGTCATCAAACTCCATAATTTAAATCTAAATATACCGGTTTGGCGGTGATCTCTGTGAGTCAGCCAAGCCGGTTCATTGTGACTTACATGGGAAAAAAGTAATACCTCGTGCTCGTGCCTCTTTAGCAAGGACATCGGCACGGACATTTTGAGCATGCAGAATCAGACATAGACTAAAAAACTCGAAACCTATCTGTATTAACTCCAAATAGTCTAGCTCCGAGGTAAAGGCTGGCCAATCAGTTGGTTCTTCAACCATCCTGATCAGATCCAATGTCTCGATCTTAACCGAAGTGTAACCCCGCTCTCTTAGGCAAGACAATGCCCAGAGAAGTCCTTCGAACTCCTTATTTTAGTTAGTGTTTGCTTATACTATCAATCTGTTCGAGAGAATCTAACCCTTAATTCTTTAATGTTATTTTCCTTAATAAATGCATAAATTTCTGAATGTAGATTTTTGTATCCACATTTTGGCGCCGTCTGTGGGGAAAGATCTATAGACTTCTCTTACTCAAGAGCAGATCCTAAGCCATCTAAAACCGAAATGGATTCAACTCAACAACCTTCGGGGAAACATCTCACCGATTCTGATTTCTCCAGATCAAGTCACTCTGACCAGCAACGCCAGCCAGACAGCCGGCGGAAACAAACCCAGGGTCACGACCCTTATCGACACCACCGACACGAACTCTAACATTCCCAGCCGTGTAAAAATCGATCGTGATCAACGTTGTCACCCCACCGGGAAGGATGAGTAACCACTCACAAACAATCGAAAGGCCTGCCTCTCGAACCTGGGTGCAATCTGAAAATCCCCTTACAGCTTAGGCATCTCAGAGCCGAGTAGCTCCTACCTCTCCACCACCACCTGTAGCTTCCAGAAGCGCAACAGAGTCGACAGAGATACTCCAAATGCTCACACACTTGATCAATCAACAAAGAGATCAAGAGATCAAGCTAGAGAGACAGGAGAGACACCAAGCTGCAGCTAGATCTGCTGCGAGTCCACCTCCATGGATTCAGCTTGACTTTTCGTTGATCCCTGCTTTAAGCAATCTACCCGGACAGACCAGGTCCACCAAATTTTGCCCCCGCGGTGAACCAACCCAATCACCAAGGAAATTCCTGCTCCGGGAATACCAGAGATGGGACCTCGCCCCGCGACGAGATATCCATCTCCACCTGTGCCAGCACCAGGAATACCCAAAATGGGACCTCGTTCCAACACTAGATATCTGTCTCCTCCTTTGAGACCACCTAGAACCAAGCCACCTCGTTCGAGATGGCTTGGATCCTCGGCTTTCGCCTCGAGCTCGCAGATACCTCCCCAGTTTGGCCAACAACCGAACACGATCTCAAGCTCGAGACCCCCTAACGGAACCTGCGAACAGCCCACAAGGTTCGTTCATCAACAGCACAGAACCCACGTTCGAAATGATCAGACTCGGGCCTTCCGCGAATCCTTCGAAAGATTCCAGGATCAGACCGACTTTGCTTTTGGCAGATGAACTCCATGTTTCATCAAGCCACGAGCTCAGCTCCCGATATCGATCGAGTGATCCTGGAGACCCAACAGACTCTGTTCACTTACCAGATCATCAACACTTACCTCTGAGACACTAAAGTACGAGTCATGGAGTACGCTGGAGACAGCGACCCAAAAGCTCATATCCGACTCTTCAACCTCGCAGCTATCCGAGCTAATTTCTCACCGAAGAAAAAGAAGCAGGATATTGCAGGCTCTTCGCCGAAATCTTAGTCGGACCAGCCCAGGAATGGGTCATGATGCTGGAAGAGAATTCAATCGGGAATTTCAACCAGCTCACTGTAGCTTCCCTCAAACAGTATTCGATCTTTATCGAAAAACAAGAATTCGAAGCTGATCTCTGGAAACTAATCCAAGCTCCAGATGAACCATTTCAATCATATATCGCCAAGTTCAAGATGATCAAAGCAAAAAACGGTAAATCCTAACAAAGCAGTAGCCCTGCTCTCCCTCAAAACCCACTTGATGATGCACTCCATTGCGCGTCCATATTCGCTAACTTCAAGGATGAAACGCTTGCCTGCAAAGATAATTACTATAACAGACATCTAAACTACACACCCCCTGGGTTGAAGAAAGCAAATGTTCCGCCTCCCAAAAGGGAGCCGCAAAGCAAAGGTTAGCATTCATATGCTATAGAGAGTTTGTCACCTGAAAAGGAGTCGAACTTCGACCAAAATAAATATTGCGACCACCACAAAAAACACGGGCACTCCACCGAGGATTGCCGAACTCGAGCTAAAATCCTAACTAAAAAGCTCGCTAAGGAGAAAGCCAAAAAAAGCCGAGAGAAAGAGCAAAAAGCCTAAAAAGACCTCGACCAAAAACAAGGATGAAGACCTCGACAAGGCATCTCAAAAACGGGATCGCAAAGTCGAAGTCGAAGTCCAAACTCCAGATTCAACTCCTTCGGCGAGGAAAAGAATCGACCTTATCTTCAGAGAGCTAAGCCTTTTGTGGCGGGTCGCCGAAGTCACAACTTTGTTTAACCTGGCTAGATTACTTGAGCAGTTGCACAAAACAGAAAAAGCGACTTTTCTGTATCGGTTGATACTTTTCAAGGTATACTCCTAATTCCTTGTGATATTATTTAGTATTCCAGTTTATCATGATTATTCCTAGAGGTAGACATGAGGTTTATGTTCTTTCTGTTTCTACAGTTTTTTGGATACGCTTACAATGTCGCATAATTTGTCTGAATGCTTACCCTGATCTATGCATCGGATGTGTGTCTGTTGATTTCTGTCGACTTACTCTCACTGTCCATTTGGTGCAGTATCCTGGCTACATAGATGCTTATTTGAGGCTTGCTGCGAGTGCGAAAGCTCAGAACAATCTTCCTCTAGCCATTGAACTGGTCAACTACAGTATTGAACATTATTTTTATTTTCTGTATTAAGTTGCGTGCTATTTCTGACTGCGATTTCCTACTTTCCCCTGTAGGTGAATGAAGCTCTAAAGGTGGACGATAAAAATCCCAATGCTTTGTCTCTGCTTGGTGAATTGGAGCTTAAGAATGATGACTGGGTTAAGGCAAAAGAAACGTTTCGAGCTGCTAATGATGCGACTGATGGGAAAGATTCATATGCTATTCTTTCTCTGGTATATCTTTTTACGTCCATTTTCTCTTTTGCGGCAGAATATACGAATCATATTAAGTTCCTTTTGGGTAGTTCAAGCCACATGGGATGCATAATCATTTCATAGAATCGATAAGTAGAAGCACCCCACCTGGTCTTCCCCTGCATAGTCTGTGGGGCCAATCTATTTACTATTACTGCTATCCGGACTCTCTTGTAGAACACTTAGCCAAGGGGCAGGAACAGAAGATGCTGTTAGGGTCCTCTGTTGGGTTTCTCAACCAGCAGCCTGGTTAGGGCTGGTTGTCTAGTAGATTTGTTACTGACGCGGAGTGGAATTCTGTGTTGACCCTCCTGCATTCATATTGATAAATTAGTGTGGTAGGGACTTAGATGGTTGGAACTGTTCCCCAGACTCAGAGAGGTGTTAGCCACTTATTCTACAAGCTTTTTTGTTGTGTGTTATATTTTTTCTTGGAATGGTGTAGGGGAACTGGAACTACTTTGCGGCTATGCGCAATGAGAAAAGAAATCCGAAATTAGAAGCTACCCATCTGGAGAAGGCCAAAGAACTTTATACTAAAGTATGATGTTTCACTTACTTCCTTTCTCTCTTCTCAATATTAGTAATTTGGAAATATTTCGTGATAGATGTGTTTTGGGTGGAGGGTGGTGGGTGGTGGACTTCCAATATTATTTATATAGAGCTATGAAGTTTCTGCAGTCTGTTATCCTAATATAGCATAGCTGTTTGCACAGGATGTAATCTTTTCTAATTTACTTTTTTGTTACTATCGGAAAATGCACAAGTGTGTACGTTAGTTCTTGATAATAAGAATTTTTGGCTAGTAATAGAGTGAGATCTGAAAAGTAGTGGAACAACCTTTGAATCAGATTCAGGGGATCATCTGAATTAGATTGCTATCAATTCAGTTATCTTTTAGATATATTCCTGGGGCGACCTGAACTTTCTTGTTGGATTTTTCTACGCTAATAGGACTGCGTGCTTAAACAGCTATGTTCTCTTTCCTTCAATGCTAATCGTTGTACTCATTGTTGATTGCTGGAATAAACAGGTCCTGACCCAACATAATTCCAACATGTATGCGGCCAACGGCTCTGGCATTATATTGGCAGAGAAAGGCCAATTTGATATTGCCAAGGATCTTTTTACTCAGGTCCGCCTTATCCATTTACTGTTCATGGTTTAGACTAGTTAGTTTTTTCAAATCATTGCAACTTTGTGAACGTTTTAGGTTCAAGAAGCTGCAAGCGGAAGTGTGTTTCGCCAGATGCCTGATGTATGGGTGAATCTGGCTCATGTGTACTTTGCTCAAGGGAATTTTGCCTTAGCCGTGAAAATGGTTTGTCATTTTTATATCATATTTTTTTTATCTTCTTTGGGTTAATTTCTATGTTTTGCTGATGCACTATGTTCATAAACTATGTTCTTTGCAGTATCAAAACTGCTTTGCGGAAGTTCTTTTACAACACAGACTCTCAAATTCTTCTTTACTTGGCTCGTACCCATTATGAGGCTGAGCATTGGCAAGAGTGCAAAAAGACACTATTAAGGGCCATTCACTTGTCTCCTTCAAATTACACATTCAGATTTGATTTGGGTGCTGTAATGCAGAAATCATCGTCTTCCACACTACAAAAGAAAAAGAGAACAGCTGATGAGGTTGGCAAACTAAAGATCATCTCTTTCTAAGCGTCTGATATTTTCCCTTGTTTCTTTCTGACTTGCCTTGCGTTTCTTATGCTTAAAAGATAAGCAGATTTTGGTATGTGTCGATTTAACCTTTGAAATCTTATTAGTATGCGTACACCTGATCCTAAGATTTGATGTCTTATTTTATAAGGTTAAGTTGAGATATAATTAATTCGTCCAGTGGGGGCCTTATTGATTTCCACCTGAAAAGAGAATCTTCTTTATGACTATGCAGGTGCGCTCAACAGTTACGGAAGCGGAGAATGCTGTTCGTGTATTTACTCAGTTGTCTGGTGCTTCAGACCTCCATGTTCATGGGTTCGATAGTAAGAAAATACAAACTCATGTTCAGTATTGCACACACTTGTTGGAGGGAGCAAAAGTTCACCGTGAAGCAGCTGAGCGTGAGGAACTGCAGAACCGGCAGAGACTAGAAGTTGCCCGTCAGGCTGCCTTGGCAGAGGAAGCACGCCGTAAAGCTGAAGAACATAGAAAATATCAGGTAACTGTGGGTTGCAAGTTAACATTTCGTGGGAACAACTTATGAAGATTTAATATGGAAGACTATCAAGTTTGTGATATGCGTTAACGAGTCCCCTCTCTTGGACAGCTGGAGAAAAGAAAACAGGAAGACGAGCTAAGACGCCTCAAGCAAGAAGAAGAAAAAATTCAACGTATAAAGGTGTGACGTCTCATGCTTTTACTTGCAGTGTATATGAAAATCAGGTTTTTAATGTTGTGGGGTTCTCAAAGAAAAATAAAATACTGTTTAATACTTGTTAGGCGTGCATTTTTCAATATGATTGTCTTCAGAGATGTTTAGGATGACATGCTGATATTGTTCTGTAATTTTGAATGCCCTAGGAACAATGGAAGAGCAACACACATGGATCTCATAAGCGTAAGGATAGAGCTGAAGATGATGATGGGGAAGGTAGACCCAGTGAGCGGAAAAGAAAGAAAGGTGGGAAGAGAAAAAAGAAGGACAAAGGCTCAAGGGCTCGACACTACGAGGACGATGAGGAAGAAGTGGCTACTATGGATGATCATAATGAAGTGGAAGATGAAGACGCCAACAAGGCAGGACGCTGAGGAACCTGTAGATGATGATGCTCATGATCTTGCTGCTGCTGGGCTCGAAGATCCTGATGTCGATGACGATGAGGTAATACAATGCTAGTTTTTTCAATTTACATAGACCACGGAACCATACAAATCCAATTGTTTGATTAATCAAGGACAATGTTTTGATACTGAATCGGTTTGGGTGGCTACAGGTACCTGCTTCAGTTGTGAGACGAAGAAGGGCGCTTTCGTCTTCAGATGAAGAAGGTGAATTGATGGAGGGTCAGGCAAATTCTAGCCCCCAGAGAGAGAATTCTCCAGTAAGGCAAGAAGAGAGCAATGTGGAAGAAGAAGATGCTAATTTGGAGGACGACGAAGAGGCAAATTGAAATTCTTCATACATAACAGATCTTTCTGTGTTGTAACTTTTAGTGATAAATTCCATTGATGGTCTTTATTCAATTTTCATAGGAGTTAGGGTGTGAGGACAAATTACACTCAGGCCAATGATCAGTTTGAATCTTGGTATTATTTTTGTTTGAGCCTTATTTATTATTATTGTTTAATGAAAAGTATTTTTTTTTTATCTTTCGATAAACTTGGGTTTTAAGAAAACTTCTTTCTCTCTCTAAATTTCTCTCAAACTTTCTAAACTTTTTATGCAGATCTTGTTAGATCGCATAATAAATCCAGCCCATTCAAGTATAAATTGGCTGGACTTCGATCATATAGCCCAATCCTTCGAGATGATCTACAATATAACGAAAATTCCGAGAAACAAAGAAAGATCTAGACCAAGTTGGAGCATATTTTTATCAGTTCAAACAAACTTGAGATTTTCGAGAGAAGTTGCTGCACGTTGTTGAGATATGCGTTGTAGGTTGAAGTTCGACGAAGAGAACTATATAAAAGAAGGAATCTGCTTAGTTTACAGAGGCTGATAAATTCTTATACTTTCTGATACTCGAAAATTCTGGAACCGCTTTTCGAGCTCCTTTCATTCCATCTCTTTCTGAGAAATCTTGTAACCGTTTAATTCATCCGATTAATATTAAATCTTTATTTTAGTTTTTTTTTCTTTTTTTTGTCATCAAACTCCATAATTTAAATCTAAATATACCGGTTTGGCGGTGATCTCTGTGAGTCAGCCAAGCCGGTTCATTGTGACTTACATGGGAAAAAGTAATACCTCGTGCTCGTGCCTCTTTAGCAAGGGCATCGGCACGGACATTTTGAGCATGCAGAATCAGACATAGACTAAAAAACTCGAAACCTATCTGTATTAACTCCAAATAGTCTAGCTCCGAGGTAAAGGCTGGCCAATCAGTTGGTTCTTCAACCATCCTGATCAGATCCAATGTCTCGATCTTAACCGAAGTGTAACCCCGCTCTCTTAGGCAAGACAATGCCCAGAGAAGTCCTTCGAACTCCTTATTTTAGTTAGTGTTTGCTTATACTATCAATCTGTTCGAGAGAATCTAACCCTTAATTCTTTAATGTTATTTTCCTTAATAAATGCATAAATTTCTGAATGTAGATTTTTGTATCCACATTTTGGCGCCGTCTGTGGGGAAAGATCTATAGACTTCTCTTACTCAAGAGCAGATCCTAAGCCATCTAAAACCGAAATGGATTCAACTCAACAACCTTCGGGAAACATCTCACCGATTCTGATTTCTCCAGATCAAGTCACTCTGACCAGCAACGCCAGCCAGACAGCCGGCGGAAACAAACCCAGGGTCACGACCCTTATCGACACCACCGACACGAACTCTAACATTCCCAGCCGTGTAAAAATCGATCGTGATCAACGTTGTCACCCCACCGGGAAGGATGAGTAACCACTCACAAACAATCGAAAGGCCTGCCTCTCGAACCTGGGTGCAATCTGAAAATCCCCTTACAGCTTAGGCATCTCAGAGCCGAGTAGCTCCTACCTCTCCACCACCACCTGTAGCTTCCAGAAGCGCAACAGAGTCGACAGAGATACTCCAAATGCTCACACACTTGATCAATCAACAAAGAGATCAAGAGATCAAGCTAGAGAGACAGGAGAGACACCAAGCTGCAGCTAGATCTGCTGCGAGTCCACCTCCATGGATTCAGCTTGACTTTTCGTTGATCCCTGCTTTAAGCAATCTACCCGGACAGACCAGGTCCACCAAATTTTGCCCCCGCGGTGAACCAACCCAATCACCAAGGAAATTCCTGCTCCGGGAATACCAGAGATGGGACCTCGCCCCGCGACGAGATATCCATCTCCACCTGTGCCAGCACCAGGAATACCCAAAATGGGACCTCGTTCCAACACTAGATATCTGTCTCCTCCTTTGAGACCACCTAGAACCAAGCCACCTCGTTCGAGATGGCTTGGATCCTCGGCTTTCGCCTCGAGCTCGCAGATACCTCCCCAGTTTGGCCAACAACCGAACACGATCTCAAGCTCGAGACCCCCTAACGGAACCTGCGAACAGCCCACAAGGTTCGTTCATCAACAGCACAGAACCCACGTTCGAAATGATCAGACTCGGGCCTTCCGCGAATCCTTCGAAAGATTCCAGGATCAGACCGACTTTGCTTTTGGCAGATGAACTCCATGTTTCATCAAGCCACGAGCTCAGCTCCCGATATCGATCGAGTGATCCTGGAGACCCAACAGACTTTGTTCACTTACCAGATCATCAACACTTACCTCTGAGACACTAAAGTACGAGTCATGGAGTACGCTGGAGACAGCGACCCAAAAGCTCATATCCGACTCTTCAACCTCGCAGCTATCCGAGCTAATTTCTCACCGAAGAAAAAGAAGCAGGATATTGCAGGCTCTTCGCCGAAATCTTAGTCGGACCAGCCCAGGAATGGGTCATGATGCTGGAAGAGAATTCAATCGGGAATTTCAACCAGCTCACTGTAGCTTCCCTCAAACAGTATTCGATCTTTATCGAAAAACAAGAATTCGAAGCTGATCTCTGGAAACTAATCCAAGCTCCAGATGAACCATTTCAATCATATATCGCCAAGTTCAAGACGATCAAAGCAAAAACGGTAAATCCTAACAAAGCAGTAGCCCTGCTCTCCCTCAAAACCCACTTGATGATGCACTCCATTGCGCGTCCATATTCGCTAACTTCAAGGATGAAACGCTTGCCTGCAAAGATAATTACTATAACAGACATCTAAACTACACACCCCCTGGGTTGAAGAAAGCAAATGTTCCGCCTCCCAAAAGGGAGCCGCAAAGCAAAGGTTAGCATTCATATGCTATAGAGAGTTTGTCACCTGAAAAGGAGTCGAACTTCGACCAAAATAAATATTGCGACCACCACAAAAAACACGGGCACTCCACCGAGGATTGCCGAACTCGAGCTAAAATCCTAACTAAAAAGCTCGCTAAGGAGAAAGCCAAAAAAGCCGAGAGAAAGAGCGAAAAGCCTAAAAAGACCTCGACCAAAAACAAGGATGAAGACCTCGACAAGGCATCTCAAAAACGGGATCGCAAAGTCGAAGTCGAAGTCCAAACTCCAGATTCAACTCCTTCGGCGAGGAAAAGAATCGACCTTATCTTCAGAGAGCTAAGCCTTTGTGGCGGGTCGCCGAAATCTTAGTCGGACCAGCCCAGGAATGGGTCATGATGCTGGAAGAGAATTCAATCGAGAATTTCAACCAGCTCACTGTAGCTTCCCTCAAACAGTATTCGATCTTTATCGAAAAACAAGAATTCGAAGCTGATCTCTGGAAACTAATCCAAGCTCCAGATGAACCATTTCAATCATATATCGCCAAGTTCAAGACGATCAAAGCAAAAACGGTAAATCCTAACAAAGCAGTAGCCCTGCTCTCCCTCAAAACCCACTTGATGATGCACTCCATTGCGCGTCCATATTTGCTAACTTCAAGGATGAAACGCTTGCCTGCAAAGATAATTACTATAACAGACATCTAAACTACACACCCCCTGGGTTGAAGAAAGCAAATGTTCCGCCTCCCAAAAGGGAGCCGCAAAGCAAAGGTTAGCATTCATATGCTATAGAGAGTTTGTCACCTGAAAAGGAGTCGAACTTCGACCAAAATAAATATTGCGACCACCACAAAAAACACGGGCACTCCACCGAGGATTGCCGAACTCGAGCTAAAATCCTAACTAAAAAGCTCGCTAAGGAGAAAGCCAAAAAAGCCGAGAGAAAGAGCGAAAAGCCTAAAAAGACCTCGACCAAAAACAAGGATGAAGACCTCGACAAGGCATCTCAAAAACGGGATCGCAAAGTCGAAGTCGAAGTCCAAACTCCAGATTCAACTCCTTCGGCGAGGAAAAGAATCGACCTTATCTTCAGAGAGCTAAGCCTTTGTGGCGGGTCAATGAAATCAGTAGTTACCACCCCCACACCCCCCCCCCCCCCCCACTAACACCGCAAAACTCACGAGCTCCAGTTCGTCTAAGCTCCACAAAGTCGTCAAAACGGATCATTAACCAACTCTCGACACCTTGAATTCAAGCAAGCTCTAGCTCGGTATACGTGCTCTTTTTCGACGCCTTCCGGCGCATGGGGTACCAAACATCGATGCTGTTCAACGATCGAACTCCACTCACCAGCTTCGCCAGAGAAACCACCTATTCATTAGGCAGGCTCATAAAAACAATTAACTTCATGGTCGTAGATCGCATGGCTCTACGTGATGAAAGCTGTAGCTTTCATATACCACCAATGCATCAAACTCCAAACCCCTTGGGGTATAAAAACGATACGCGGCTCCCAACAAGCCTCGAGAGATTGCTATATGGGCAGCTTTTTGCGAACGAAAAAGTCTCCTGTATAACAATTACAGAAAGAGGAGGAGCTCGCAGTTCGACAACTGAAACATAACAAAGATACCTCTGTTTGCGAACCTCGAACCGAACTGATCGAGCAAGTATGCATTGACGAGGCCAACCCCAAAAGGTGCATTGGTATCGGGGTCGATCTCGCGAAGACAATTCATGACGAGCTATTTGATTTTCTAAAAGAAAATATAAGCACATTCGCATGGTCCACTGCAGACATGTCGGGCATCGATACAGAGATCGCTGCACACAAACTCAACATCGCCCCAACTATTAAGCCCGTCAGACAAAAACGCCGTAAGCTCGGCCCCCGATCGAGCTAAAGCAATAAATGACAAGGTAAACAGACTACTCAATGTAGGATCAATCAGGGAAGTAAAATACCCTGATTGGTTGGCAAACCCCGAAAGACAACTTTCCACTTCCACACATCGTTCGCGTGGTCGAAGCCACAGCCGGCCACCAGCTTTTGTCCTTCACGGACGCCTTCTCTGGATATAATCAAATAAAGATGAATCCAGAAGATCAAGGAAAACCAGCTTTCAATACCGATTGAGATACCTACTGCTACAAAGTAATGCCTTTCAGCCTGAAAAATACAGGAGCAACCTATCAACTGCTCGTGAACAAAATGTTCGCGAATCAGCTCGGTAAGACTATGGAAGTATACGTCAACGACATACTGCTCAAGTCTTCCAAGGACACT